GTTAGCCTTTTGATAAAAACGAGCATTCAAGCTGAACATTGCCTTAGGTCCTAAGTAACATTGACAGATTCTCTCCATCGACTTTCTCTTTGTATCTCCACGGCCATGTAAATACATTCCCAAGTATTTTCGGCACACAAATCGATAATAGAAGCTTTTATCTAGCATCTAAAACGACAAAAACAACAAGAAATTGTTATGTGATCAAGTAATTAACGAAATAGAAAGTCGACGAAGGGAATCGATCAATATTACTTAGAACCTAATGCAATGTTCAGCTGGAATTAGTTAAGTTTTGCAATTCCTCCTACTTCGGTTAGCGCGAAAAGGGCCATACAAGTTTTGTTTATACAAGATGATAGGTTCTTCAAATATTACGTTAGGTAGTGATTAATATAGTGATGGAGAATATGTCCCTCGAATTCATGGAGCATTGAAAAATAAAACAAAAACTAACATGTGGTGGTAAACTATAACGAACAAAGCTTGGTGTACAGGTAAACAAATGAGGCACGCGACGCCTCTGGTTTCATACAAACTTAGATTTTTTTTGCCGAGTTGGACAACACCGAGCAGCATGGCATTTTATGTTGTTGGATCTCAGTGAAAAACTTGCCAAGATTCTGCTAACAAATGGAAATTTTGCCGAGATCTCAGCTAAGAGTTAGTGCTCATGTCCCAACCGTCAGAAGAAAATGGAGCATCACTTAACCTTTCTAGCTTTGATGCTTCCAACGACCAGCCAATCATATAATTACGAAAATCGGAACGTACGGTACGAGATGTCCACGTTTCATCCATTTATTGGATTCTGAAGCATCGTGTTTAGATCTTCAATTTAAACAGGCCCGATGTTTTCTGAATTATCTTGCCCCTTAAATGCTGCACAGTAGGCTTGGCCGTTTTGATATGTGTGACGTATCTTCGATATGAAACATTTATCAAATAGATAAGAAAAATGATGGAGGTATATCCATCATTTTCCAGGATGCTTTCAAGAAATGGCTGTGTTGGTGTTAGATTAGATTACATTAGATTAGATTTTGGTGCAGAAAACAAGAAAATTGAGTAATTGAGTGGTATTTTAAACTTTTGTGTACTCATGCTAAAAGTTGTTCAAAAAGTTATTTTATATTATTCTGTTAGACTTAGTGGATTTAGGTTAAAATTTTTAAAATCGTACAAACTCACACACTTGACTTTGGCTAGGAAAGAATGAACATTAAAAGTTAATTTTTGTGATAGTCTTTCAGCCTGATAGATTTTCAGTTTATGGTAAATTTAATAATAATTTCCCGTAGGAATATTTAGACCAGACTAGGCTATTTGAGGCCTACACAGCAAAAAATTTATTTTGATATTACATCAAATTGGATGCACTTCAATCGTTACGCTGCTTTTACTGCATTTGTTTATTTTTGAGGCCATAAAAATTACATGAGATTTTCGACATGATTGAAGTGCATCCTCTTGGATGTAATATTAATAATAATTTTTTGCTGTGTAGATTTATGTAAAGGGGCCTGATGTTGGGTGCATTGACAGTAACTAAAGCGAGAACCACACCATCGGCGAACCGACGTGACAGCTCATAGAAGCTACTTGCAAAATCTTGCCCAAGACGCCATACTTAAAATACGTTAAAAACTACTGCCATATACTCATCCCATCGCGACATATCATGAGCAAGGACACGAACATACGTAAAATTTATATTGACTTGGTTTGCGTATCATCTCGTTAGACAGATCTGATCACCCGTTGGACAGATCAAATCGCTCATTTGACAAATCGAATTGCGGACAAACGAAATGCTCCAGTGACATGTCGGTTCGTCGGTGACCGCACGGCCACCTACAACAACTCAACGACTGAATTCAATTGACTCAGAGCATTTTCTTTCCGTACGAAATTTACTTATACTTGAGAAAAAAAAACAAACTTAGATTTTTTTTGCCGAGTTGGACAACACCGAGCAGCATGGCATTTTATGTTGTTGGATCTCAGTGAAAAACTTGCCAAGATTCTGCTAACAAATGGAAATTTTGCCGAGATCTCAGCTAACAAACGTAAATTTTGCTAAATCTCAGCAAGTTTTTCATTGACATAATAATAAAGTATATAGAATAAAATGCCTAGTTGCTCGGTGGTGCTCATCCTGGCAAAAAAAATCTAAGTGTGTAAATGTACACGAACTATGATATAAACTTGTATGATATATGACGCTCCATTTATGTGCGTCATAGTATAATTAATTTTTCCTACTTTTTCTTACTGTGTGAGGTTAATTGTATTAAACTAAACTTTAAAACAGGTAGACAGTTTCACATGTTTCGTCAAATAAAAATGATCCACTAAATGAATCAATCAATTTTCGTGTCCAAATTGGAACGATCTGAGCCGTTTGTTTATTCGGCAGCTTTCCATAATAAATGAAGGATTGCACAAATGTTGAAACTATTTCATGAATAATTACTGAATGACAATGACATTTGATTGCTGATACCCCGAAAAAGTCGTTAAACACGGTACTTTGGTAATTTTCCATAGTTTTGAATAGTATTTGACCAATATCTTTCATGGTGTCCAGCTATTTGGTCAAATGCCGTTTGGCGGAACGCCGTTTAGCCAACTGAGTCATTTGGCCGAATACCATAAAATGGGCTGTAGTTAATCGCAGAAGGTTCTCATTCCACCCCGTTTTACGGTTCTTAAGAAGAATGTTAATGATTTCACATTGAAAGCTTAGCGGAATTTTAGGGTGAGAGACTTGGTCAGGATGCGGCTGCCACTGTGTATTTGTTAAGGCCCACGCACATTAGATCCAGATCGGACGCGTTGCGACAAAGTGATAGCTAAATCTATTGTCTAACTGTCAAATTTACGTCAACACAACGCAAACGGATCTAATATGGGTAACCCTTTAGAATAACAATAAAAAATTGCATTCCTGAAATCTTTACCATTCGAAAGAGAGGATTTTTTAGGTCATTTTTACACTTTAAACATTATATCGGGTGGCTTGGAATATCATTTTTTTCGTCAATAATTTCCATTTTCCCTTTTGGAAAAAAGACAATTATGAGCACTTGAAAGCAAAAATGATATAATCTTCTTTCCTTTTTTGCCATGAAAAACTGCCTTTGTAATAAAGCTCGCTTGAGCCGGTAGAGGAAAACGACCAAATTGTGGCAAGCTGCTGCACGAAGTAACGCCGTCGATGATACATGTGCATTGAGGTGATTTCTTGTAAAATCCACAAATGGCTGCTACCTAGGCTCATGCACTTCCACTTCAAATTTTCAATTACACAAATCTGGGTGCCCCATTTCATTGGAATTTGCTACTTCATGTCAAGAGCCACGTGTGAAAAGGGCATACAAGTTTTTTGTAAGCGAACCTTTGTAGGCCTTTTTTCGCCAACCGAGGGTCGCCCACGCAAACTAATAACATCTTCGGGAAGGGAAAAGCTTCCCCTATCCTTCTTCTTTTCCTTTATTTAACGTCGGTCTCTGTTCCGCAATCTAGTGCCAATCACCGATGGACATCGATTGCCATCCATTGACGGCAATCGAATGTGCAGGAAGGCAGCTTCCACACCTGCGTAAGATATCGCACCCATTCAACACACATGGGCCGGGACCAACGGCTTTACTTCCCTTCCGAAGGAAGACGTGACCAGAGATTTTTATGCCTTAGAAAAATCCCACCGACCTCGGCTGGGATTGAACCCAGACCCATTGGGGTGTTAGAAAGCAGTCACGCTTACCACTACACCACCGGCGCCGGCAAAATCCCCTATCCGGTGATGTTGATGGTTTGCGTTGATGTTGTGGCGAGAAAAGGGCATTAGAAGGTTTGTTTACAAAAACCTTGTATGCCCTTTTCACATGTTGTTCTTGATGTGTGCTGCAGTGCAGCAAACGTGGAGTAACAATTTGAATATTGCACGTGTCGTAGAAGCTTATATTTGTGCACTTAATGATTCGGGTGGTTCCGAGAATAAGGATGTCACAGCGACCTTAATTGGTTTTTTTATATGTCTTTTCTCGATTCCGATAAAGCTATGTCCTCAACCGTGGATTTTGCAGCAAAGCAGGCAAACAATATATCATTTAGGTGAATTTCGTCCTGAACGATATTTCACGCGCGATGCAAGATTTTGCGAAGGTACGAGTTGTCTTTCTCATTCCAACGCAAAATTTGCTCCGCTTCGCTGATACACGCTCAGAATACATCTTTATCCTTGTACAGCTCCGATCAAGCTATACTACAGAGAGAGTTTATCGTGGTAGTAGTAGCAAGTGTCTTGTCTTTATCGTTGGTTGCTTTGAGTGTTTGGATTTGCTGATCAGCTGTAGGGAAATTTACATTTTATGATAGAGCTGGAATTAAGGCATAACAGTTTTTGTAAACAATTCCTTCTCTCGATGATTCTAGGAATTCAAGGCACGTTCAACAGAGAAGTCTTCCCCTACCAGATTGTGATGTTGATTTGCGTTGGCGAGCCTTGACCTTTTAAGAAATCATCGAAAGAAGTCACTGTTTACAACAGCTGTTACGTCCTAATTCCAACTCTATCTAGATTTAATTAGAAGTTCAACCAGCTAGAGTGCATATGGAACCTCTTTTTCATGCCACTTATGAGATGTCTATAGACAGGTGACGAGGCCAAACATGAAGCACATAATTTAAAAAGAAAAAGAAATTAGAATTTAATATACAGTCAATAATACTGGGGTTATGGGCCATCAGGGGTGACTGTAGTTAGGAAATTTTTCCTTCGGCCAAATGAAATTCAGTCCTTTTCAACACTATGGGACATTAGAGAATTCCTCTGTCTGAGAAGAGACATTGAAAACATTGCCAACTCCCATGGAATTGTTTTCAAGATATATAAAAAAAGTATCTCAAATATTTATATAGGGTAGGTGTTCCAGTAACAGTGGTGTTCCTATAGTTGTGGTATGGAGTTTGTGGCGGAATAGTGAGGAGTAGCTCTCCTAAAATAAGGCATATTTGAATATTTCAAACTTAAAATATGCCCTCAAGTGACAGAAAATAATTAATTTTCCTTAAGATTTTCACTCCTTTGCACCTATAGTTGCGGTAGTGTTCCTATAATAGTGGAATCCATAAGAAACCAATGCATTCCACTATTATAGGAATCAAAGTTAGCAACTACCACCACTACTGGAACAGTGTTCCTATTAATGGAGGACGAGTTTTCTTAAAATGATTGCAAATTTAATGGAATGTAATATTTTTCTAAAAAAATAGAGGTTGAAAGCTATAGATTGACGTATGGAAATTGAATGTACATCGTATATTTATTTTTTAATAAATAAACTGGCTTAGTACATCCACTATGGGTCACTCACCCTATTATTTAAAAATTTTATCAAGGAGCATTTTCTGACCAAATATGTAGCATATAAAAGGACAAATTTATTAGACTGTACCCTTTCAAATTTCAATGAAACTTTGCATTTGGATAGAGGTTTACGTGTTCATGAACTGTATTCTGCTGCAAACAAAATGGCCAAATCTCAAAACAATTTGAATTATCACTCATAACGATCATTACATAAAGACTTTTGCAATCGAATCATTTAAATTATAGCAGACTTTTAAAGGCAGTTAAAGTTTTCTCTTAGGCGTGTAAGGCTTACAGTATTTCCAGTCTTGGTGGATCGCAAATTCCTGTAAATGTTGTAAAAAATCACGGTCATAAACCTCACGTTTTATTCAAAATTGATTGTTATAATAAAATATCACTTTAGTTTAGTTTCTCCATGCAGACTTTTTTAAACTTAATTTCGCCAATGAAACTGTATCGCAAAATCTGACGCCTTTTTATTTACTGATGTATTGTGTCAATCATTCCTTATACCAGACCAGCCAGTCGTTTCCTCAATATACTATCAATCAATCATAATACCCGGAGATTCAATGCAACTTACTCTCATTCGCGAGCTACTCCTATTGCCTGCTGTAGAGGGCAGAAGGCCTTATTCCGTGCATTCTCGAACCGGCGGTGGCCGACGGTTGCAATTTCCGAGATGATGCACTTGTTGATCGCCTTTCACATACGCCAACAATCCAATCAAAGCAGAAGCAATCCCAAGCCTCGGAATTGTGCATGGGCCACCACCAGACCGACCGGGTGCAATTATCCTCCACCTTCGAGTAAAGGAATTTGTGACCAACGCGCGCACGAGCGCACCACCTTCACTACTTGTTGGTTCTCCAACAAGGCTCATTGCGATTTTTTTCTCGTTTCGTATAGCAAATTCGTGTTACTTTTCTACCACCATCACCACCACTCTGTCAGCAGTCGAGTTTCACGGTTCTTTTCTTCAAATCGCCATCACGAGCGCGTGCACAGTATGGTGGCTCCTTTTTTTGTGTGTTTCTTAGAGCACGAGAAACAATAAACAACACCACTCGCACACACAATCACGATTATCCCGAATTGTGGGAAGGAGGGAAAAAATAGCACACGCACATGTGGTTCCTCATGGGCCTCGGTTCGAGGCTACTCCGCGTGAGGATTGGGCTCAATTATCCACAACGGGGGGTGGTGCAGAGACAGAGATTCCCGATCGAATCTCCTTACGCGCGCGAAAGACATCATCAGACACGCATACACACACACAAAGATAGAGAGAGAGAGAGACGGAGACGAGCGACGACGGGTGAGGCTCGAAAAGTGTGTACTCACTTCATAACTCTTCCTTTAATTTATCTGCTTGCCTGAACTCTTCGTTTTCTTCTACTTCTTTCGCTTCGTTATTATTATTGCTTTTGTATCACACTTGATTGATTTTCTCTCTTACTTCTTTTACTTCTTTCTTCCTACTACCCTAACCTCACTTGGCTCTGAAAGAAACTTGTTTCCAAACAATTCTTCTTCTGGTCATTTTTTTTGCTGCTGCTTTTTCTTCTTAATCTTCCTTCGATTCTTATTCTCTTCTGTTTGGGCCTTGCTTTTCCAAGAAGGAGATTGATCGTTTCACACACTCACATTAATTTCTTCGTTTTTGTTGTTGTTGTTGTTGGTGTTGTTATTTTGAGAAAGGCGAAAAAAGAATGTTTATAAAGAAAACAGAAACTTAACCATTAAAGAGGAGACAAAAAAAAACCTTTTCGTCTCCGGCCATCCCGTTTGCGTACTCCTCACTTGGTTAACTCCCTTGGCTCGTTCTTCGTTCGCTCGCTCATCATGCTCATAAACAACGGACAAACGATTAATAAGTGATGCTGTGTTTTTCGATTTTGAATGCCATTAACTTCGTAAATGCCTCGGAACTTGGGCGCGACGGCGGACGGACCTGAAGACGACGACGACGACGACGACGACCTGTAGCAGTACAGAGGAATCGGGAGGTTCCTTTGCGTGAGCTGGGGGTCTGCAGGGGTACAATGTGTCAAATTAAGCATTCTCTCTTTCCCTGTCGCTTTTTTTCGCTTCATTCTTCACCTCTCATCACCTGGTTTTGTGGTGGCAACTGCCCTTGTGGTTGTTGTTAAACGGGTTGCTGCTTCCAGGTTCAATGCAAACAATGACTGCGATAATAATGGGCTTCGAAACTAGCCTCGAAAATGATCAATTAAGTAGGGTTGGCGCGCTTCTTCTTACTGGAGGTTCCGCTTAACGCAATTTTCTCGCTCTTCTCGCTCCAGTGGATCACAGTTAGAACTTTGACACTTGACATGCACCTCCCAGCGTCGTCACCCGTTTTTACACGGTGCAATCACTCGGTATCCACTACCTATCACTGGTGCTGTTGGCTTGACTACTACCGGTGCTTCGACCGCTGTCGTTGTTCGTCGTGCTGCTGGAACTATGGGATAGATCTCCCGCCGAACTGAGATCTCCGTTGTTTTTGTGCATATGAGCTGCTGCGGCTGCCGCGGCCGCCGCCGCCGCTGCTAGTTGATGATGGTGCAGGAGGAAGTTGGGTGGACTGTTCCGGAGGCAACCGGGTTCTTCCTTGATTTGACTTGTCGGCAGGGATGAGCTGTTGTTGTTGTTGTTGTTGTTGTGGATACTTGACGTGGGAGGTGATGAACTGGACAGGTTGAGCTGCTGAAGATGCGGGGGAATTTGTAATGCTGAGAGACTGCTACCGTTTGGAGGTGGCCCGGTTGCAGGTGGATGTGGTTGCTGGTGATGTGGAGGAAGACTATTGCTGCCGGAGCTGCTGTGATGATTCTTGCTGCTACTGGTACCGCCATTCAGGATGCCCGGTGGACTAGTGACTGCCGAACTGAGGTTATTGCTGGTACTATTGCTGTTCTGGTTTGAACTGCTCCGAATCGTATGATGGTTACTGTACGGACTGAAGTTGTTGCTGTAGCTATTGTTCAGCTGAGAACTGAGACCACTGTCACTGCTGATGTTATTCAGCTTGTCACTGGCGCTGTTCTGGAGGGCTTGCTGTTGCTGTTGCTGCTGCTGTTGATGTTGGGCCGCTATCATCGAGGCCAGACCCAAGTGGTCGTGATGATGGTAGTAGTTGGTTGGTGTCGCTGGACTTGCTAGCAGATTCAGAGGAGATGCTATACTCGTTGAAGGGGACTGTAAGCTGGACAACACACTCATACTCCTTGGACTGGAGAGTGATTGATTCAACGATTCCCTATCATCCTCTGGACTCTTGGAATCATCCATACTGCCACAACTACCGATCGCATCATCCGATCCCTGATCTCTCCCCTCCTCACTATCCGTCATTTCCTTGTATCTGATGCACTTTTTCTTACGCCTACACGGTTTACACCACTGATTCTGCTGATCTAATCCGTATCTCGCTCGGCACTTCTTCATGCTGTTGCCACTCGGATCTGCGGGACTTCGATCCTTTTTCCTCTTCTTTTTCTTCGCTCCATATCCATAGTTATCCCGTGCCGTCCATCCGGGATAGAGTTCCATGTGCAGTTGCCGCTCCTGGCGGGCCTTATCATAGTACACACTCTGTTCTTCCCGCGAGAGCGAGTGCCACTTCCGACCCAGTATCTGATTGATAGCGGCAGACTCTTTGAGCGTGCATTCCGCTACCACTTTTGCTCGCATCTCTTTCATGTACAGCATGAAAGCATTCAACGGTTTCTTGACATGGCTCTTCTTCTTCTCCAGTGCCAGCTCTTTTTCCGTGAGTTGCCTATGTTGACCGCTACCACTGTTGTGATGATGATGGTGGTGATTGTTGTTATTGTTGTTGTTGTTGCTGTGATTGCTTTGCTCGTGATGTGAATGATTGTGATGGCTATTGTTCGATCGGCTCTGATGCGATGAGAATCGACTCTGAGATGGTTCTTCGCCACTTTCTTGCTTAATCGTGGGAGCATTCGACGATCGACCCGAACCAAATCGGGATGATTCCTGGCCAAGAATGTCCTGCTTCGGACCGGGGGTAATTATGGCGGGGTGTGTGTTCAACATCGGATGGGGATGTACCGATGGAAGAAGACTGGGCGAGTATCGATAAAAGTCACTCGGAAGGGACGTGTAAATCTGGAGGGATGCTGGATATGGATTGCGGAACCCTGCCGCAGGGCCATACATTGAAGGTGTATGCCATGACGATGCCACTAGGGGCATATCGGGACTCAACATGGGATAAGGATACTGGCTAGTGGGGAAGCTGTACAGAGGAGGCCGCGTAAGTCCCATCGTTTTTGGGTCCAATTGGTACGGAAGAATTCCGCAATGTGCAGGAGGAGGCGAAGACAGGTGATCTCCATTGTGGCAGAAAAAAGGAGGCAAACCCATCTTGTTTGCCATAGACACCGGAAGACCTCCTGCAGCACCGTTTGGGTAGGCATACGGTGGAACCAGGTAGCCCATGTTGAACCCCGGGTGTCCATGGGGCAGCTTGCCATAAACAGGACCCGCCTCATGTCGAGTGGTCCCATTTTTAACCGTTTTCTCCTCGCTTTCAGTCAAATCAATTAAACTGGATTTCTCCTCCAGCAGGTTCTCCGACAACTTTTCGTCGTCCCGACCTTCATCTTTGAATACTTTAACCTCGTCCGTACTGCCGAGTTCATCACCGGTGGAACTGTTGTGAGGCATTTTCCCGGCACTTGCATCAATCGCACTTGTTTCTTCACGCTCTGCGCTACACTTCGAAAGGCACTAATTTGATTGAATTTCTGTGTTTACTTTCCGAAACTACAAACTGCGATAACAATTTTGAACTAGGTTTCACATTGCACTATTGCTTTCAGGTTTCCATATGCATACTTGCGTTTCACTTGTTTTCGACTCTGATGGTGAGTCTGGATTTTTTCCGTTGCTTAAAACTGGTAATAGAGGGGACAATCCCGTTCCAGTACATTCCGACGCACTCGGTTCACACAATCTCCAAAATTTTAATTTTCAACGAGCAGATTTCGATTCGTTCATTGTACGCGCCTCGCTGAAAAAAAACCGAATCACCCGGGCCAGTTTTTGCGTTCTTGTTTGCTGCTGCTGCTGGCCACTGCCACTACTCACTCGTTGTGGTGCTCAAGTTCTTGAACTTCTTGGAAGCTGGTTACTTGCTGGCTGGCTGCGGAGTGCTTGTGTTGGTTTTGCTTCCAAGTTGCCACACATACACACACCCGCGCACACAGCCGTCGTCGTCTACAGCCTGTTCAGGCTCGGCTCTCTGGAACAGAATACATAGCGAGGTGGCTCAAGAAACCAGAATATACTACAGAGTAGAGTGTTGAGGCAGCACGAAGTGGAGGCGAAATACACTGCAAACGGAGAGCGAAGAAACAGGAATCTTGTTAAAATGAAATTACTTCGCCCTCTTCTCTTGTTTCAGCAGCTTTTTTTTTGTCTGTTCTCCAGTCGCTATTGCTTGATTTGAAGAGTCAAAATTCTGGAATGGAATTCATTCATCGATGGGCTCAGTGCGAGACGTTCTGTAAATAAATATTTGAGAACCGAAAGATTGTTTTATTAGTAAACAGTTGATCGAGATGGGAGGGGACCTGGATTAACAGAAGCTGCGTAATTGACCTCTACCTCCCCTTTCCGTACATCCAGTAGAATGAACGTGACGTCATTTTAATAAGCTTATGAGTTACTCTTTTAACGCCCTTCTGCTAACAAGCTAGGTTCCACGAAACCCACAACTCACCTTCAACTTGAATGTTTTGCTCTCTAAACGTCCACCGGCCACTTGTTATTCATTCCTTGATCCGTATCAATCCGGATTACCCATCGAATTATGCGCGACGGCGACAACTTCGGCGGTCAGAAATCGCGACTTCTTTCTTATTCGCGACACTAGTAAAAACCGAGCGTTTTTGTCCCGCTCGTTCTCTCCGAAGGAATTCTCTCTGTTGCTCTCGTTGCGGTATGTTTTGTGTCACTCGCGACGACGACGACTCCCGTTTGACAGTTCATAAATTCTTGCGCTTCGGAAAATCTTGCTCACTGCACGAGATATGATCCGAGGTTCCCGTTCCTTTGATTTGATTGAGATTGAGGTTCCCGTTTGGCCCCAGGTAAAATCACACACTGTCGGAATTCGGTATTTTGCTCTCAATTGAACCCGCAAAAATATACTCTGACAAGCGGCGGGCGGCTAGCGAGTAAGAAAAATAAAATAAAATTCCACTGTGTTGACGCGCGATCCGTAGCCCCGTGCCTGTGAACTGTTTGCTTCTTCTGACTGTGAATGACTGCCTGTGTTTGCGCTGCCCATTGACGTCTCTCTCCGTCTTCGTGTGGTATGTTTGCATCGGATTGCGAGCAACGCCCACCCTCTCACGCAAACTCACAAACACTGCGATCCGGCGCACTTATCGCCACCCAGAGAAACGTCAAATTTCAAGCTTTCGGTGTTTCGACGTCCACCATCCACTTGCGCAAGCTCTCATTGGTTTGGATTTTAAAGTGATCGTTGGGAAAAGCTCAAACCATGCGCAAGCAAGTAACCTGCTCATCGATCACACTTGATCCTTTCGGGGTTCGGTTTGGGTTCCCGTCGGGGCTGCAGTGAAATACGAAACTCGGGCCCTTTGTTGTTGTTCGACGTCGCAATGTTTTCTTTACGGTTAACAAACTGAGAATGAGCTGGTGTCATTTTTCTTAGGGACCGGGAAGCACCGCACAATGCTCTGCATGTTTCGAGCTGCGCAAAAGAAGGGAAGTAGGCCGAATAGGTTTATAGGAATGGTATTTATTATCCCTCAAGGATTTGTTCGTCTTTGCTTTTGTGTGCTCTGCTAATGGGAAGTAAGGAGTCGCGGCTAAGATTGGGAAAGTTTTGAAGTAATGCTTTGTGGTAGTTTCATTAGAAATTATGCTGCGGGGTTAAATTATGAAAATTGAAAACAATATTTATCGCGTTTTAACTAACATAGCCAATAAACCTTCCAGTGCGCGCATAATTTTCTGTAACACGAGAACTAGTGTGCTTTTGAAAGATCAATAGCTTATTATCTCCACCTTGTGGCCGATTGCTGATGTCCGGAATCTTCCAAAACTTAGTAGAGGTATTCATTATGCGCAGCGTAAGCATATAAGTTTTCAAATTTACGAGGTTGCATATGATTACGATGCGCTTTGTGAATACCCCTAGCGTAAATATTGCTATGAGTATTACATTTCATGGATTGAAATATTTAATGTCTCGTTGAGCATGTTCCAAACTTCAGTAAAAATTAAATTAGCTCACTACTTGACTATCCTATTTATCCCAACAAACGATTAACGTACCCCATTATAGTTGAAATTCCAGTACTACACAATGTTTGTTTTGATTAGCTATGAAAGTTTGACAGATAAAATGAGGGGTTCATGGATTTTCTTATGTTTCGAGGGGTGCATCGATTAGCTTGGGGCCGAAGAGAGTACTAGACCTGAGCCACAAAGTTGAGCACGTTTCTTCGGGACCTTCTAGTCTTAGAGTTACCTCTATGGTAAAACCGTGCTTTCTCCCAAAGAGCGTAATTTCGTCAAATGTAGCATAACTGTTGACATAAATCAAAAATTCAATTTATGTAATCTCACAGAAAATTTTAATATGTGTGTTATATGTGACTGGAAACAATTCCATACCATTTTGCATCACTATATTATATAACCCATGCCCAAAGAAGTCGAGGAATTTTCCAACCCGAACTATGGGATCTATGCTATGGTAGGCTGTTGTCCGAAGTCAGGTTACTAATTATTTTGCGATCTCATAGTAATTTTATTTTTAAATTTTTGAAAGCTGAACAAAAGCTTGTTCATGCGAAATTTAGCTTCTTCAGCAATTTTTTAGCTTATTCAGCTTTTAATCAGATTGTTTGTTGAGACGATCCACATCGTTTGGAATCCTCAACACGTTAAATGCTTCAATTGGATTTAATCAAAGGTATATTCTATTCAATTCCATTAATTAATTTTCTCACTTAGATTTTTTACAAGAGTCGGTAGTTTTTTACTGGGTTTTTGAATTACTGAAAAACTCGGTTAAAATTCAAATGCCCGTTATTCGTAACGATTCGATAAAATAAGTCTGTTAATTTTTGTAACACATTTTCTCAACTTTGAATTTTTCACAGATTTTTTTTGAATTTTACCGAACAGTTCCGCGATTCAACAACTCAGTAAAAATTACTGACTGGATAGGTGTGATCGTCTCCACGGCCTATGCGTATTTCGACTACAATGTGCAGTAGTATTTTTGTCCGGCTTATTTTTCGTATGTCCATAAAACATAAAATTCGTTAATTTTTCTGATTTTAACTGGCTTGGAAAGAGATGTCCTCCAGTATGAAGCAAACATATTTTGATTTAGAGGTAGCAGAAACGTCTTGAAGGAGGGTTTTGACCTTTTAGAAATTACCTTTACTAAAATCATCGTAGCTCTATCATTCTTTAACCAATAGTACAGTGTCTGTCTAATCATGCACAAACTATGAGTTTGACGATTTTTCATAATTTAAAAAAAAATTCAACCTCCCATAACTTTGCCATACTCTAGCAAAATTTGAATTTTGTGGAACTATTTTAAAGATAACTATGTGAACAAAATATGCTTCTGACACAACGTTTTGACTATGTTATGTTTGACATAAGGTATTTTGCTTACAGTGTTTTGATGAAAAATCACGTTTTAGGCTGTAACTTTGTCAGTTGTTGACCAAATTTGGATCTTTTGATAATATATATTTTAAAGATAATTATTGATGAACACATCAATTTTAAGACTGTAAGTTTGCCACTTTTTTTTACCAAATTGTTTAGTACGATCCTTAAAATAATTTTGTGAACCTTAGGATACACAGTCCACTTTTGTTTGCAACATTTCTTGCAAGTTGCTAGTTTACGTGAATAGGAAGTTTACATGTATGAATGTTTGCATGCATGGATGTTTACAGCGCCAGTAAAATTCAGAATTTTTTTGGTGTGATGCCTCTGAAATAACATTCTAAAAGAAAAAGTGCATGTCGTAACATTATTTCCGTTGACATTTTGAAGACATTTACCATCTTTGATAGCGACACAGCGACGAGCAATGCAAATCATCGCAGCAATTCTTTTGCTAGTAGTAGCAATTTTGACAGTTTATGTGAAACCGTCAAAGTGGATGGATTTTCGGCGTGGAACATGGAAAAACAAAACATTTTTTACGTTGGATTTGATATCACAAATGTCCAAGACTTAACACTTTCGCGCATCAGAGATGTTTTCTGAGTCTTTTTTTTTAGTAGCAGCAGCAGTAATGGAAGCGGAGCGGCCGTAGCAGCCGTAGCAGCCGATTCTCGCTCTTCGCTTCTCGCTCTTCGCTTCTCGCTTTTCGCTTCTCGCTCTTCGCTTCTCGCTCTTCGCTTCTCGCTCTTTGCTTCTCGCTCTTCGCTTCTCGCTCTTCGCTTCTCGCTCTTCGCTTCTCGCTCTTCGCTTCTCGCTCTTCGCTTCTCGCTCTTCGCTTCTCGCTCTTCGCTTCTCGCTCTTCGCTTCTCGCTCTTCGCTTCTCGCTCTTCGCTTCTCGCTCTTCGCTTCTCGCTCTTCGCTTCTCGCTCTTCGCTTCTCGCTCTTCGCTTCTCGCTCTTCGCTTCTCGCTCTTCGCTTCTCGCTCTTCGCTTCTCGCTCTTCGCTTCTCGCTCTTCGATTCTCGCTCTTCGCTTCTCGCTCTTCGCTTCTCGCTCTTCGCTTCTCGCTCTTCGCTTCTCGCTTATCGCTTCTCACTTATCGCTTCTCACTTATCGCTTCTCGCTTATCGCTTCTCGCTTATTGCTTCTCGCTCTTCGCTTCTCGCTCTTCGCTTCTCGCTCTTCGCTTCTCGCTCTTCGCTACTCGCTCTTCGCTTCTCGCTCTTCGCTTCTCGCTCTTCGCTTCTCGCTCTTCGCTTCTCGTTTCTCGCTTCTCTCGTGATATTTGTACAGCATGCACCCTACAGCTTCTCTTTGAGATGATTACGTTGGTCATTACGAGAAAATCAAAACAATAGTTGGATAAAGAAGAGTTGCATTATAGCTCAGGAACAGAGGTCTACAGGGTCGTAAACAGCTTGTTTCTCAATCACAAGTCATATCGTACGATTCGAGGCAGGTGTATCATTCAGACTAACAACAAAGAGTACTCAAAAGATAAGTCGTAGCAACTTCCAGTTAATCATAAAACAACGAGACTTGATGGTTCCGTCGTGAACCCGGAAAACATCGTAAGAACTAAAATGGTGGGATTATTATAACCTGGGGCTGCACTCTCGAAATAATTGGCGAACACTGAGGCTTATACATTCTAACTACAATTTATTAGAGTTGGTTGGAAATGCTAACATGAAGCTTTAGGGTGATAATTTATTAGCTAGAGAATGATCTTTAGAAGAGGGTAGGTGTACAATTTATTGGTGACGTCACATTTCGATTATGGGTACTTGTATGCATTTCCTTACCTTCGGATTCGGATCCTGGGTGTTGTGGTGATGATGACGGTATCGTGGCTGGTAGTGACGATACGGTTGTTGCTGATGACGATACCGTGGTAGCACAGAACAGAAGGGGAAGTGCAAACAAATCAGTGAATCAAAAGGTGCTTCATTTTTCTGCTCAACAAGCGATGTATTGTGGTAGCGTTCCACAGGGGCTTTCTATGTGCACTCACACTATCATAGGATGCTGCCTATCTTAACTGCAGGCAGAAGATGCCTTCTACCGCTAGGTGCGCTAGTGTTTGCAAATGACAAGTGGAGCCACTTTCTGATCCGAAGTTCCACTCCTGTGGTGGTAGGCAATGATGGTACCGATGCTGGTGTAACGGTGGTACTAGTGGTAACAGTCGGCAGTCGGTGTGTCAGTCGGTAGTCGGGGTGCTGGTCAGTAGTCGGGGATGAAGCAGCAGATGTGCTTGACAACTGTCAAGATGGCGATCGCTGACGATTCGACGCCAGTGCTTGACCACGTGGCGATGACGGATGATTCCATTCACACAATTGCGATCGAATCACCCTTTGATATCCAGCCACGGGCTGTGGTCGTCGTGCATGTCCCGTATTCTTTCGGGAACCGGGCTTACAAGCACTGTAGAGAAAGTTTTGCAAAGGAAAACAGGAAAAGGCCCCTTTCACGGACATTTTTATTGTGTTTTAACTTGTTTGTGGTTGTCTACAATGGTTGTCGCATAGTCTTTGTCAATGCTTGAACTTTTTAC